ATTATTATTTCTACATATATTAGTTTTGCCTGTATCAGTATTATTAGTTCTACATATATTACTATTATTATTTCTGCCTGTATTAGTATTATTATTTCTGCCTGTATTAGTATTATTATTTCTGCCTGTATTAGTATTACTATTTCTGCCTGTATCAGTATTATTAGTTCTACATGTATTATTTCTGCCTGTATTAGTATTACTATTTCTGCCTGTATCAGTATTATTAGTTCTACATGTATTATTTCTGCCTGTATTAGTATTACTATTTCTGCCTGTATCAGTATTATTAGTTCTACATATATTACTAGTATTATTTCTGCCTGTATTAATATTTTTGAAACTCACTTGTGGGGGAAAGTTTCTGATGCTCTCCACAAGATACTGGTAAGATCTCCAGTCTTGGGCAAAAAGTTGTCCCATCACGGGAATTACTTGAAATGAATACAAGTCATATGCCCTAAAATCATATAAACATAAAGAAATTTAACAGGAAAAGCATCAGAAGAGAAATATAAAACTTACACGTGTAACGCACTACGTTTTTTTGTGTGTCAAAATAGATTATCAACATTATAACATTGCAAGAAATACAAAAAAAAATCAAATCCATACTGAAGAATGTCTCTTTTATCGTCAGAATATAGAGATACTTATACAGTTTGATGAGCTGTGAGGATTTACATCAATAACACACAAAAGAAATTCAAAATCTATATATTTAAGAAACCAATACTCACCAGTTTAATAACCCATTGTCTACCTGACTAAATTCCAGACAGAGAAATCTTCCTCCTGGTTTTAAAACTCGGAATGCTTCGCAAAGAGCCTTAAAAAATTGAAAAGGAATTTAAAATCAATATATTCAACACTGAATCCACTTGAGAGGTGACTAAGTTTTGTACCGGCCAATTTTTTAAACACTTATTTAATTCCAATGTTTCTGTATAACATGTAGAATTAAAATTCACTGTTGCTATACTGCTGCTATCATTCATCTAAAAAAAGTATGTTTAAAGAAAAGATTCAAGTAAATAACTTATTTATGTCCATGAAAATAAACATTGTATTTCTATAGCAACATCAAACATTATGTTAGCAATAAACTTTCATATAAACACAAATTCTGAAGCTCAAAGTAATAAATTTCATCTGCGCGTTATTGTACAGAAAAAACTGATATTTACATTTTTACAACTTGACTTAGTTTTGTTTGTTTAAAACACTAAAACACGCTGAGACATTAGAGTCTCTAACAACCTAATCACTACCTGGCCTTACCAGGTCTATATGTGTTACATTGCGTATTCCAAATGCTATTGTATAGGCATCAAAAGAACAGTCAGGGAACGGCAGGTTCTCGGCATCTCCTTCTTTCCAAGATACTCCTGGGAAAAGAGTAGACTCACTCAGCTATTAGAACATTTACACAATTAATGAGGAGAGACAGAAAGAAAATTTAAAACTATTAATATTCCTATGAACATATTCCAGATATTCTACTCAGACAACAAAGATAAATGTTCCACAGATATTTTATTCAGACAACAAAGGTAAATGTTCCACAGATATTTTATTCAGACAACAAAGGTAAATGTCCCACAGATATTTTATTCTGACAACAAAGGTAAATGTTCCACAGATATTTTATTCAGACAACAAAGGTAAATGTTCCGCAGATATTTTATTCAGACAACAAAGGTAAATGTTCCACAGATATTCTACTCAGACAACAAAGGTAAATGTTCCACAGATATTCTACTCAGACAACAAAGGTAAATGTTCCACAGATATTCTACTCAGACAACAAAGATAAATGTTCC